TGCAAAGGTGGGATTAGTGAGTGAGGTGGTTAAATATCCATGATATCATTGTGCACCATCTAAAGTGTCATTTTATCCATTGCCAAACTCTCCCCCCTTCGATGTTTACTAGGCCTGTCGACAGCCACCGACGGGCAGTTGGGCGTGGGAGTGTCTGTCAGAATATTATGCTCTAGCCTGTAGTGGGGTGCTCTATAGCGAGTACAACTCTTCTAGGGTTTTGCTATTTGTATCCCCATTCTTGCTAGTGCAATCCTCTTCTTTCTTCTAAATTTTAACAGTGTCCCTAGGCACTGGCCTTCTGCTCCGAACGTGGATGACATCGACGGGCAACGGGTATGTCTTGTTGAGCCACGACAGCTGGTTGGGTTCTTCCAAGGGCGCCGATTGGCGTGTTCCATCAGCGCGCGTTTAGTTAAGGGATGACATTGAGATTATGGAAATTCTCATGGGCATCGGTCGGCATTTTTTTTAGATGTGACGCATGCTCGCATGATATAGAGTTTTAGTCGTGCCCGAGGCGTATTGGGAGAACAAGGATTGGTGTAGGCACGCGTTCACCAATTCTACTGTCGAAATTTGTTGGTGCATCTGCTTTAGCCGGAAGGCGGTAACAGCAAATGTGAGAGCTTTGTCGCAACTTTGTCATTCCAGCACCGGGTAAGGGCACATTCTAGGATCGGTTCAAGGGTGGCATGCGAAACAAACTCTTTACAATCGGTTTCTTTAAACACTTCAGGATCAAGTCGATGCACCGGTGGCTATGGACAGTGCGAGTTGTATTGAGGATCTATGGCTTGCGACTGTCGATGGTGAAATCATAGGGGTTGGTGAAAGAGTCGAAAGCTTCTCTGAGAGAGGCTTTGGTGAAATCAGTTTGTGATGCCATGGGCATGATTGTTTACAGAATGATGACACCGGATGAGGTAAAGTTGAAGTTTCCCGAGCTAAGAAAGGTGGTGCGGATGGGCGGGGAGTGTGGTACGGTGGATGTGGTTGTGAGCTACGATGAGGTGCCTGGTGCTTCTGATGTTAAAGTGCGGGAGCGGGATGAGCGGGCTGCTGTGGACGTGCCAACACCAGATGAGGGACATGTTGACACTGGGGTAAGTGGGAGGACATGGGGGAGCTGTAAATTTATGATGTGCACCCGACGCAGGGTGCGAGTCACTCATCTTTTGGCGAGCACCCTCATTATGCTTGCGCACGAGGGGGCAAACGGAAACTCTCAATTCATCGGCGGCACTACTCCTTGGGCCAACATCGACACGGAGATTGGTATGCATACTCCACTTTCAACTTTCATGTATGCTTGATGGCAGTCCAACGCCCTACTCAGGATCCCTTATCGTCTTTCCTTTTATGCATTCACCGAGGCGTTTGGTGGAGGCAAAGCTGATTCCGAAGTGCAAAACCATAACGCTTTCTGCGAGTCCGAGATACTACCTCGGTGAACTGGTCACCGAAAGCGGAAACGAGGTGAAGATCATATCGATTCAAGCAAGGAAGAACAAACTGTGGCACAACGCTTCTCGACCCATTTCTATCTTGTCATGGTGCGGTGTGGTGCGAAAAAAGAAAGCGGGGAGTCCTATGACCTCGGCCGAGGTGGCGAGGGAGCTTGGGAGCCCACCCAACCACTGGGCAGGTGATCACTCTAGCTGCTCGGGAGTAGGAGGTACCCCACCTCGCTGCATCAGAGAGAGGTGGGGTAGGGAGCATGCCCTATATGAGTTTGGGTTGTCGACACACGAGGCGGTCAGTGCATGGTTTTCCAAACGCCTAAGCCCAGAGAAGCTGAAGTCGTTGCATGGCGCATTCAGTTCACTCAACGAGTCCTTCCATTCATTGATCATCAAATACACTCCAAAGATGATCAAGTTTCAGGGCAGTTTTCCGGCACGAGTGGGTCTCGCGGTCCTTCAGTTGAATCACGGCATGGATCGTTTGGTGACGCCTATCGCACGAGAGTCCAGTAGGAATCTATATTCGCAGGCAACATATCCAGTTCGCCCACGAAGAGGTATGGGGATCAACACGTTTCGGATGAAATTTTATTGGAAAAGAAGGGCCTGGAAATTTTGTTGCACGACGAACTCGAATAGTACTAATGAATCTTCATTCTCGTATCCGCTCTTGGATATCTTTGACAGCAGCAGCTCCGTTGGCTCGTCATCCGGGAAATCGGTCACGGGCTTTCGAACATCCGAGTGCAATCAGTTTTCCCTCGGAACAGTTGGACTGAGCTTGGGCGCCATGGGCAACAATCATCAATTGGCTTTGAGCGGTCCAGAGCACCTTCCGCTCGAGACGGCCCTGGAGACAATGTCCAAGGGGAAATTTGAGAAAAAAAAAAAATGGAGCTGGCACGCCTGAGGGAAACGGTCACGTGACAAGATAAGGAAGATCTATAGCTGAGAGTCATGGTGAAACAACTCGATTTCTCATACACTGCCAAGAAGATGAATTGTCGCACGAGCTATATGTTATTTCTGGTTCTTGGACAGGTTTCACTTTCTGATAATAACATCAAGGATGTTTATCCGCAGATGCTTGGAGCAGATCCTGAAGCATTGGTGGTTGTTGCTGAGATGACAAATGAACACGCTTACAGAGACATTAGCACACCATAATCTATACATAAGATCTTCATTCAATTGCCAAAGGGTGTAACTATAAGGTGTTGTAGGTGTTTGTGAAAAGAGTCCCTACCTGGCTAACATTGTCCATGAATTTTATTGCTGCAAACACGTTGCCTCTTCAAATGATGGGGAGGAAGAGGGTGGAGCTCGCTTGCGTGGTTGATGGGTTAAGCGGGGAGGTAGGGTGAGACGCGGATCCAAATATCGCAGTTTGACCCCAATGGATTGGACTTGGGTTGATCGCATCATGGAGCAGCCTGCTTTAGCACCCTTGCAAATTCAATATGAGCCCAAACGTTTGGCAGGTTTCTGCCATCAGCACCCCATTGTCCCCTCTCCAGATCCGCGTCTTTGATCATATTCCACCAACTTAAAATCTCCTCATTACTTAACAAGTGTAGCACCGTTGAAACAATCCTCCTACCGACTCTTTTGTGTGGAGTACATGCGATATGCTGGACCACGTGCTCACTTCCACCTGAGTCTGAAACTCCCGCCCATGTTTTTGCTTCTGCGATACACATTCTGTCGAAAAACACTTGCCATTATCGTCAACCAGATCGCCTTGGAGATTGGTTGATTGCGCTGCTGTTGCAGGATGCTTTAAAGGCTGCTGCACTAGTCATGAACAATTAGTGAGAAATTATATAACATATGTACATGTCACAGGGCGGGCACGCGGGCGGGCGGCCTGGGGGCGGGGGGGCGGGCGGGCGGGCGTGCGGCGGGCGGCCGGGCGGGCGGCCGGGGGGCGGCCGGGGGGCGGCCGGGGGGCGAGGGGCCGGCCGCGCGGCGGGCGGGCGGGTGGGCGGGCGGCCGCGGGGCGGGCCGGCGAGCGGGGGGCCGGCCGCGCGGCGGGCGGGCGGGCGGCCGCGGGGCGGGCCGGCGGGCGGGGGGGCGGCCGCGCGGCGGGCGGGCGGGCGGCCGCGGGGCGGGCGGGCCGGCGGGTGGGGGGCCGGCCGCGGGGCTGGCGGGCGGGGGGCCGGCCGCGGGGCGGGCGGGCGGGGGGGCCGGCGGGCGGGTGGGCGGGCGGGGGGCCGGCCGCGGGGCGGGCGGGCGGGCGGGGGGCTGGCCGCTGTTGGAGATGGTTTGTGGAACCACACTAAGCGACGGCAGAATTTGGACCGACGGCGTGGGGAAACGTGTGGAATAAGGTATGTGAAAAAAGCTAGGAAATACTACGGAGCTATGTATGAGGTCTACGTCATGAGCTACAGGAATGGAAGAAGAGAAATGGCGGGGAATGAATGGAGTTCATGGAAGAAAGGAGTAGAGGGGATGAATGTGTTTGACGGGAGTAAAGTTTGGGGTTGGACCATGGCTTGGTCAACAAGGCACCGCGATTCAGACTCGGTGGGCGTTCGATGAAGCAATGCAGGTTGAGTGTGTGACACGACGTGAAACGTACGCGACACGTCGAGGCGCATTTTGGGGTGTTAGGTTGATATTAAATTGTTGTGTTTTTCATTGTGTAAAACATCATTTTCTATAGTGTGGGAGACTTCTGTGCGTCAAATACTCAAGTTCGAATCCTGCTGAAAGCACATTTTCGTGCTCTTTTGAAGTTTCAGTAAATTTCCGTGAAGTGCCCGTCAAGGTCTCGTAAGCACGCAAGCCCATTGGCACATTGGATTATGGCAAGATTAAGCCTTGTATACCACCGTCGGTGCTGTCGGTGCGGTATAATGTAGGCCCCGTCAAGGGCGAGTCAGCAGAAACCCCCGTGAAGGCCCCGTCAAGGGCGAGTCAGCAGAAACCCCCGTGAAGGCCCCGTCAAGAGCCCGTGAAAGGGCCCGTTAAGGGCCCGTGAGCGGGATCTCCGTCAGAATCCCGTTACAGCCAGCAGCTAAAATAGTTACCCCCCCCCCCCCCCCCTACTTGAAATGGCACAGGATATGCTGGTGTTGGGTTGGGAATATTTCAGAAAGGAAAACGTCCAAGCTACTGTTTGGGATGGGCCCCGAAAATTTGTGGTAACCACTAATGGAGGAATGTGATAGGTTGACGATTTCTAAAGCAGGGGCCACCAACTCCGATTGGTCGTAACTTATTAGATCTGGTTCCCGCGTGTTTCTTACGAGACATTGTGCGACAAACAACCAAGCTCCGCGTAGCACAGTTCAACCCACGAGAAATAGACCTCCATTGGAACAAGGGGGTGCAATCGCACGAAAGGACCCGTTGGTGACAACGTCCAGCCCACGACCATTCTAGTTGGGTCCAACTAGAATTTCAAAGTGGACCAGGGGTGCATCATGCTCATGAGTGGCGTGACTGGCGATGACTCAAAAGGGAAGGAATCTAAGCGCGCAGCTACGTGTGCAGCTGAGGAACGTACGCGACGCGGTCTTAGATTCAATGAGCACGTATGCTGGAGATTTTTGCATGAAGGGTAGAGATCGAGGGACAATCTCGTCACGTATGCTGAGAGTGCCATTAGTCCACAGCGTTGGGCATTACAACATTGATCTTAGTTCCCAATGTGTTTTGATTGCTCGAGCTAGAAGGACCTCGCGCCCTAGGCTACAACGAGTGACCTCGTACTGCTCTGTTACTTTTAGGGATGGAGCTCGTTGCGGCGGACGTCACGCACTAGTGTCAGGCCACTCGTCGTGACATCAAGGTGCGATACATCGACAGAATTATCTATCAGGCTGCATTGCTCGCGATCAGCAGCCCGTCCCGTTATGACGGGAAGCATTGCTTGCGATCAGCAGCGAGTCGCTTTATGGCGGGCTGCATTGCTCGCGATCGGCAGCCCGTCGCGTTATGGCGGGCTGTATTGCTCGCGATCAGCGGCCCGTCGCATTATGACGGGCTGCATTTCTCGCGACCTGCATGGGGTCGCATTATGACGGCCTGCGACGCTCGCGATCAGCAGCCCGTCGCGTTATGACGAGCTGCTTTGTTCGCGATCGGGGGCCCGTCGCATTCAGAACGGGTTGCGACGCACGCGATCAGCAGCCCGTCGCATTCAGAACGGCTTGCGACGCACGCGATCAGCAGCCCGTCGCATTCAGAACGGGTTGCGACGCACGCAATCAGCAGCCCGTCGCATTCAGAACGGGTTGCGACGCACGCGCTCAGCAGCCCGTCGCATCCAGCGCGGGTTGCGACACCAGCCACGAGCAGCCCCGTCACAGCACTCACATCATACCATCTAACTAGAATAGTGTAGTGTCACTCCGCACCCGCTATCTCTCGCAACGCGTTTGAGCACAATCGGATTCCGTGAGCACTCAAGCTCTTATTCACAGCCGTTATGGGTCTAACGCTGTGCAAGCCTACCCTCCTCTCCTCTCCCCCCAAGCCCCAGGCTCTATCACATCCTTACCAACCTCTGGCCTTACTACATCACTCTTCCAGCCAGGTAGGCTAGAGTTACTGCCTCTTCCAGCCAGGTAGGCTAGAGTTACTGCCGGGTTTGTAGGCTTGTGGGAGCGGAAGGTAAGCTTGCTGCCAGGTGTGTTGCTGCCAGGTATGTTGCTGGCAGGTATGTTGCTGGCAGGTATGTTGCTGCCAGGTATGTTGCTGCCAGGTATGTTGCTGCCAGGTATGTTGCTGCCACGTATGTTGCAGGCAGGTATGTTGCTGCCAGGTATGTTGCTGCCAGGTATGTTGCTGCCAGGTATGTTGCTGCCAGGTATGTTGCTGGCAGGTATGTTGCTGCCAGGTATGTTGCTGGCAGGTATGTTGCTGGCAGGTATGTTGCTGGCAGGTATGTTGTTGGCAGGTATGTTGCTGCCAGGTATGTTGCTGCCAGGTATGTTGCTGCCAGGTATGTTGCTGCCAGGTATGTTGCTGCCAGGTATGTTGCTGCCAGGTATGTTGCTGCCAGGTATGTTGCTGCCAGGTATGTTGCTGCCAGGTATGTTGCTGCCAGGTATGTTGCTGCCAGGTATGTTGCTGCTAGGTATGTTGCTGGCAGGTATGTTGCTGCCAGGTATATTGCTGCTAGGTATGTTGCTGCCAGGTATGTTGCTGCCAGGTATGTTGCTGCGAGGTATGTTGCTGCCAGGTATGTTGCTGCCAGGTATGTTGCTGCCAGGTATGTTGCTGCCAGGTATGTTGCTGGCAGGTATGTTGCTGGCAGGTATGTTGCTGCTAGGTATGTTGCTGCCAGGTATGTTGCTGGCAGGTATGTTGCTGGCAGGTATGTTGCTGCGAGGTATGTTGCTGCCAGGTATGTTGCTGCCAGGTATGTTGCTGCCAGGTATGTTGCTGGCAGGTATGTTGCTGGCAGGTATGTTGCTGGCAGGTATGTTGCTGCGAGGTATGTTGCTGCCAGGTATGTTGCTGCGAGGTATGTTGCTGCCAGGTATGTTTCTGCCAGGTATGTTGCTGCCAGGTATGTTGCTGGCAGGTATGTTGCTGGCAGGTATGTTGCTGGCAGGTATGTTGCTGCCAGGTATGTTGCTGCCAGGTATGTTGCTGCCAGGTATGTTGCTGGCAGGTATGTTGCTGGCACGTATGTTGCTGGCAGGTATGTTGCTGCCAGGTATGTTGCTGCCAGGTATGTTGCTGCCAGGTATGTTGTTGGCAGGTATGTTGCAGGCAGGTATGTTGCTGCCAGGTAAGGGACATCTCGCACCCTCACCAACCTCTCACCTTCCGTCAGCACCGTCCCTGCCCCTTTTACTTTTTCTCTTGGGGTGCCTCTATCCCTGCTCCTCCCACTAGCGCCTTTCTCCCACAAATCTAGGGCGTGCAGCCAAGCCTGGCCGGCACATGCCACTGGGTGTAATTCTGGCAACAGGCATAGCCAGTGGTGTACTTTTGGGACACGCTGTTGAGGAAAGGGGGTGAATAGGGGTCGGGGGATGTACCCGTCTTCATGGTAACCCACTCCCTGCCTACCCCGCCTAACCCCCACCCTCAACCTCCCTCCCAAATGGTCCCACCCTGCCTCTGTCCCCCCTTTCCCCCATTCCCAGCACGTCCAGCCAACGTTGGCCGCCCCAAGCTAGGCTGTCGCTGGGCAACAAGCAGAGCTACCTGGGGGAGACGCCTCTTGGCGGGTACACTGCCACCACCAACCACCTCTGGTGGACGGCAGGACAGCAGCTGCTGCTGGGTTCACTGCCACCCAGGTCGAAGTCTGCATTGCCACTACCCTTCCAAGGTATGCACAGTCTCCTTCCTTTCGGAATCGTTACTGAGTGCCTCGTTACTCTTCCTCCATGTAGCATCATTGCTGCTTGGGGGGCAGCCATAATCATGCCTCCCGTATTCTCCTCATTGTTGATTATTGGTGTTCCCGCAAAACAGGCACGCCCGTCATGTGTCCCAGCGCTTCAAACAGCTCGGCGTCAACCATCAGTAGTCATGCGTGCAGCCTGCCTATTCAAAATTTCAGATCCTGTCTAATGGCCTGATACACACCTAATTATGGATCTTATACAACAAGCACACAGTTAGTTCAGCATGAACAAGGTCATTCGCTGTCACCCTCACCAACCGTCAATCTCATAGTCTATGACATCCGGTATCTCCCACTGAGTAACGAAGTGCTCAACGTCCCCAGGTTCGCAATGCTCGTAACAGCCATCACCACTTTCTGGATATAATGAGCTAATCACGACATATATCAGCTAGGGCAATTGGACTTGTGCAAAAGGGTGGTCACCGAGCAAGCGGGAGTATGTGTCGCAGCAGCGGAAACGATGATTCTTGGGCAGCAAAGGTTGACCCGTGCAATTGTTGGGGGTATGGCCTCCACAACACACTCTTATAATATCCTCAACGGTCGCCCTCCCATGCTGTAACTCACTCTCGGACCTCAACCCAAGCCACTCCGCACCCCATTGCTCAAGCACCGTAGCCTGCTTTGGATACTTATTCTCAAATGCGGGCAACGCCCAACACCACTCTGGGTGATGTACTTCAGGTGGTTGACCTGTGCGCCTGCGCACACGTCGGGCCATGACTGGCGGAGGGTGGGAATTGAGGTGGGGAGCAGGGGGGATTGAGGTGGGGAGCATGGGGGACTGAGGTGGGGAGCAGGGGGGAATGAGGTGGGGAGCAGGGGTTAATGAGGCAGGCAGCAGGGGGGGATGAGGTGGGGAGCATGGGGGATTGAGGTGGGAAACGGGCTGGATTGAGGTGGGGAGCAAGGGGGATTGAGGTGGGGAGCAAGGGGGATTGAGGTGGGGAGCAGGGGGATTGAGTTGGGGAGTAGGAGGGAATGAGGCGGGGAGAATGGGGGAATGAGGCGGGGAGAATGGGGGAATGAGGTGGGGAGCAGGGGGGAATGAGGCGGGCAGCAGGGGGGGATGAGGTGGGGAGCATGGGGGATTGAGTTGGGGAGCATGGGGGATTGAGATGGGGAGCAAGGGGGATTGAGGTGGGGAGCAAGGTGGATTGAGGTGGGGAGCAGGGGGGATTGAGGTGGGGAGCAAGGGGGATTGAGGTGGGGAGCATGGGGGAATGAGGTGCGGAACAGGAGGGAATGAGACGGGGAGCAGGGGGGAATGAGGTGGGGATCAGGGGGGATTGAGGTGGGGAGCAAGGGGGGTTGAGGTGGGGAGCAGGGGTATCGAGTTGGGGAGCAGGAGGGAATGAGGCGGGGAGAATGGGGGAATGAGGCGGGGAGAATGGGGGAATGAGGCGGGGAGAATGGGGGAATGAGGTGGGGAGCAGGGGGGAATGAGGCGGGCAGCAGGGGGGGATGAGGTGGGGAGCATGGGGGATTGAGTTGGGGAGCATGGGGGATTGAGATGGGGAGCAAGGGGGATTGAGGTGGGGAGCAAGGGGGATTGAGGTGGGGAGCAGGGGGGATTGAGGTGGGGAGCAAGGGGGGTTGAGGTGGGGAGCATGGGGGAATGAGGTGCGGAACAGGAGGGAATGAGACGGGGAGCAGGGGGGAATGAGGTGGGGATCAGGGGGGATTGAGGTGGGGAGCAAGGGGGATTGAGGTGGGGAGCTGGGGGGATTGAGTTGGGGAGCATGGGGGATTGAGGTGGGGAGCAAGGGGGATTGAGGCGGGGAGCAAGGGGGATGGAGGTGGGGAGCAAGGGGGATTGAGGTGGGGAGCTGGGGGGATTGAGTTGGGGAGCATGGGGGATTGAGGTGGGGAGCAAGGGGGATTGAGGTGGGGAGCAAGGGGGATTGAGCCGGGGAGCAAGGGGGATTGAGGTGGGGAGCATGGGGGAATGAGGTGTAGAGCATGGGGGAATGAGGTGCGGATCAGGGGGGATTGAGGTGGGGAGCATGGGGGATTGAGGTAGGGAGCATGGGGGAATGAGGTGCGGAACAGGAGGGAATGAGACGGGGAGCAGGGGGGAATGAGGCGGGCAGCAGGGGGGAATGAGGTGGGGAGCATGGGGGATTGAGGTGGGGAGCAAGGGAGATTGAGGTGGGGAGCAAGGGGGATTGAGGTGGGGAGCAGGGGGATTGAGTTAGGGAGCATGGGGGAATGAGGTGGGGAGCAGGGGGGATAGAGGTGGGGAGTAGGGGGGATTGAGTTGGGGAGCAGGGGGGATTGAGTGGGAGCATGGGGGGTTGAGGTGGGGAGCAAGGGGGGTTGAGGTGGGGAGCAGGGGGGATTGCGTTGGGGAGCATGGGGGACTGAGGTAGGGAGCAGGGGGGAATGAGGCGGGGAGAAGGGGGGAATGAGGTGCGGAGCAGGGGGGAATGAGGCGGGGAGCAGGAGGGAATGAGGTGGGGAAAATGGGGGAATGAGGCGGGGAGAATGGGGGAATGAGGCGGGGAGAATAGGGGAATGATTCGGGGAATGGAAGGTGGGGATGTTGGGGGATGGAAGGTGGGGAACTGGGGGAAGCTGGGCAGGGATTACGAGGAAGGGAGGGGAGAATGTGGGTTTAGCAAGGTGTGGAGCAGTGGAAATGGAGGAAGGAACAACGGGCAAGCAAAGAGTAGAGCAGGGTAAGGATAGGTTGGGTTTATGGGGAATGGAGGGGTGAATAAGGAAGCAAAGTGGGGAGCAGGGGAACGGGGAGGGAGGCCAAGGTGGAAGCAAAGTGGGGAACAAGGGGATGGAAGATGGGAGTATGGGGGGAGAGTGCGGAACAAGGAAGACGCAAAGGGGGGAAGATGAACAAGGGGGAGAGAGGAAGCAAAGGGGACAGGTGGGGACCAGGACAAAAGGAGGGGGGAACAAGGGGGAAGCAAAGGGGGGACAGAGGGAAACAAGGTGGGGACCATGGGGAGCTGAAGAGAGAACAGGGGGACGCAAGCTGGGGAGCAAGGGAAAGGGAGGGGGGAACAAGTTGGAAGCAATGTGGGAGAGCATATGGCAATTATGGGGAAGCGAGGGGACAAGAAGGTGAAGCAAGGCAGGGAACAGGGGGAAATTAGGGGAGGCACAGGGGGAAAGCAAGGTTGGGCCCCCAAGGAAGCAGGCTGGTACACTGAGGGAAGCAAGATGAGGCATTGAGGTTAGCACGGTGGGGGTCAGCGGGGAAGGTGCGAGATGAGAAAATGACGGCGGGTGCATTCAAGGGGGATGTATCGTGGGGACCTACTGCGAAACTCGTTGTGAAGTCGAGCGGGTGGACGAATTGTGAGTACAGTCGTGCGCCACTCCCTGCTGTAAAATCGGCGTGCTTGCCGATTTCACTAGTAAGGTCGATAATAGACACGATGTCTACCGTCAGGGTCGAGAGAGGCCCCGTAGAATCCTTATAGCCCGTGCAACGCGGCAGATTTTGGAATGTCGTGCTGCGACGTCGCGAATGTCGTTCTGTTCTCAAGCGGTTCGATAGCAAGATTCTGCTGCAATTTCAGGTGAGGCGGGCGTGTGATTTGTCTTACGACGGCGAGTTAGTCGCTATTAGACCGGCCCCAATCGGCGGATGTAAACGGTGATTGCGCCTGGCAAAAAACAGACGGCAAGGAACGTGAAATGCGGCCAGCGAGGAAGTTTAGTTACGCGACGTGAGCTTGATGGGCTGCATTTCCCGTTTCAGCACTAGCTTTCGTGCTTCAATGTGGTTCAGTTGAGGGCGTGTTGCGTGTCATGCTCTTCTTTGCACTTAGGTTGGTTGTGTGGTGTGTTGTACCCTAAATTTGCAGTGAATGTGTCATAATCGTGACTTGGGTTGCTTGGCGCAACTCAGCGACAGTTTCAGTGTTGCAGCACATGATGTGCAACTCGGAGCGATGTTGGCTGGGTTTTCGCGAGAGCAGCACTGAATCTTTGACCAAACGTGGGAGAGCTGGAGGTCGCGGCTGCCTCGCCTGGAAACTTTTTCAACCCTAGATATATCCCCCTGATTCTAGTGGACCCAACTAGAAGGGGGGGGGGTCACTATTTTAGCTGCTGCGTAGAGTATGATGGAAGTGGATATGCGTGTGGAGGCAGCAGTGAAGGAGAAAGTAGAAAAACGTGTCAACACTGGAACATCAACGATCATCATTGAAGATGAAGCTGCAAGCTGGAGTGTGATGGAATTGAAGCTGCAAAAGGACCTGGCATGGCGAAAGGAATGAAGGCAAATGCAGCTGCAAAGGTGCGCCCAAGGAGGAGTGAGCGGCTGGAGAGTATCTATCGCGGTTTGGATGTGAAGGCGGTCAAGTTCAAGAATTGCAAGCAGAGGTTCAAGTTGCAAGAGGTGTAGGGGAGTACGAAGCTGAATTAGATCAAGTGTGTTGTTCACGAACCACAGGGGAGATTGTTAGAGATGGTTCGTGGAACCACACTAAGCGACGGCAGAATTCGGACCGACGGCGTGGAGAAACGTGTGGAATAAGCTATGTGAAAAAGCTAGGAAATACTACGGAGCTATGTGTGTGGTCTACGTGATGAGCTACGGGAATGGAAGAAGAAGAGAAATGGCGGGGAATGAATGAAGTTCGAGGAAGAAAGGAGTAGAGGGGATGAATGTGTTTGACGGGAGTAAATTTTGGGGTTGGACCATGGCGTGGTCCACAAGGCACCGCGATTCGGACTCGGGGGGCGTTCGATGAAGCAGTGCATGTTGAGTGTGTGACACGACGTGAAACGTACGCGACACGTCGAGGCGCATTTTGGGGTGTAAGGTTGATATAGAGTTGTTGTGTTTTTCATTGTGTAAAACATCCCTTTCTATAGTGTGGGAGACTTCTGTGTGTTAAATACTCAAGTTCGAATCCTGTTGAAAGCACATTTTCGTGCTCTTGTGAAGTTTCAGTAAAATTCCCGTGAAGTGCCCGTCAAGGTCTCGTAAGGCCTCGTCAAGGGCGAGTCAGCAGAAACCCCCGTGAAGGCCCCGTCAAGGGCCCGTGAATCCCGTTAAGGCCGTCAGAATCCCGTTAAGGCCCCGCGAAGAGCCAGTGAAGCGCTAGTGAGGAGCAAGTGAAACCTTGACGAATTTAAACGCTGCGCATATCATTGGAATCGTGAGAACGAGGAGAACGCGATCGACATTAGCAAGCAGACTTTTGTCGACCAATGCGTCTACGGGGGGCCGGCCGCGGGGCGGGCGGCGGCCCTCCGCGGGGCGGGCGGTGAGGGGGTCGTGAGTACGTGGAAAGTCGTTGATCGTTGATGGAGAGGGAGATGGATGAGTGCTTCGATGCAATTTGTATTTGTATATTTCGATTTTTTTATATCGTTTTAGACGTCTTTTGTTTTAATGCATGGATGAAACCATGTTTCGCACAAATGTCATTTGTAGGAGCCATTATTTCCAAGGAATGTACGTATTTTATGACATGTTGACTTCTGTTTGTTTGTTTGTTTCTTTGTTTGTTCTTTTTGTTTCTTTTTTTCATTGCTGATTCTCCTATTTTTCCTATTTGGTTATTAGATATTTTATCGAATTGCAAGCTGACGCTCGTAAATCAAGTGCGATATTCCGTAGTCGCGTAATTATCACCTCAATTTCGTTCATATATTGTATCAATTTAATCATGTTATAACACCCGTTTTCATTACCATTTGTGTACTGTCCAAGTCTGCCTTAGGGTTGCATAGTTCATTTATAAAAGGCAGCATGTCTAATCCACAAAAAATATATGAAAACTTATCATGTAGTTCTTTCATATAAATTTTCTCAAGTGTGTACGATTGAGATTAGTTGTCAAAATTACAAACTATTATGTCTAGGCTATAGTGGGGAATGATCTATAGAGTACAGTATTTTAGGGTTTCACATTTGTATCTCACTTTTGCCTAGTCAATTCATTCTACTGTTGCATAGTTCCTAACAAAGAAAACATGGTTTTTATTAACAGAAGAGGCAAACAAACAAGAAACTTTGCAATCAGCAAGCTTCTCTAGTTTTAAAATATCATCACATAACACATATGCCTCATCCACTCGATCTACTCGTCCAACTAGGTACACACACCCTAGTTGGGCTTCTAAAAAACTTTCTTTTAGAAGGTACAATAGTGTTTGGCTTAGGCTTTCCAGAATACTGGAGTGTTTTCTTGTCACGGCACTGCGTAGACACGTGCCCAAACCTTCCGCAAGTGTAACACCTCATGTTGGAGAGGTCTTGGGTGTTAGGGCCATGCCCTCCCCCTCCGTTAGCCCTTTTGGCAGGTGGCCCAGGCTGGTGATCAAGCTACTGGAAATGCCTATTGTTCCAATTGCCTCCGCCTTTGCCGTTTTGGAGTCATTTTCCACGACCGCAAGAGCCTTCAGCACGAGGCTGCTGGTCTGGCTCCTCTGGACTATCCAGGTACATGCGAATAAATGTATTAGTAGTGATCATCTACTCTTTGAGCTTCTTATAAGTCCTCTACCTTATCATGCCAGTCGTCATGTGCATCCGCTGCAACTTGACAAGAAGTTCTTTGATGATGGCTGAGAAGTTTGATGCAGCTTTGACAAGAAGTTCTTCTTATAAGTCCTCTACCTTATCATGCCAGTCGTCATGTGCATCCGATGCACATGCATCCGCCTACAGCCGCATGTGCAGGCGAAGCAGATGCCGACTGAGCAGCAGGAGCGTGATTGCGCACATGAGGGGGTTAAGAAATTCCCTCCCTCCTAAGCTCCCTCTGCTGCTCACGGAGCTGGTTGTACAACGGTTGCAAATTCTTGCAAGTCTTATGAAGCTCCCTAATATGGTGAGATGTATTGCCTAAGTTGCGATGAAAGGCACGAACCTCTCCCGTGGCAATGCTCAATTCAGCCTTAAGCTTCTTATTAAGAGACGACTGCTTGGCCAGCCCAATGGTGAGTCCATCAATGGACTTCTGCTGCTGCAAAATAACAATAGTCTAAGTTAACATTTGAGCTTGGCGTTTAACAATCCCATCAGAGATGGGAAAAGTCATGCCTTCACCTTCAATGAGGTCATTCTCTACACCAATATTCTCCTTTTCACCGGTGTTCTCCTCTTCCCCGTTGTTTTCCACATCTCCAAGATTGAGGTCCTCCAAGTCCTCAAGCTTAATGTCTACCGGTGTTCTCCTCGTCCCCGTTGTTTTCCTCATCTCCAAGTTTGAGGTCCTCTAGGTGTTCAAGCTCAATGCCAAGCATTACCTCATTTTGATTGAGGTCAATGTCAGCAGCACTATTCACCACCTCATTAGGTGCAGTAGGCCCATCCTCCTTGGATACTTCCTTCTCTTGGCTGGATGCCATATGGTTTAAGAGTGTTTTTCATATCTTTTGATTTTGTTAAAAAAACTTTTACCACCTCAATGGTAAAGCAAAACATTCTTATAAGGAAAATTGTTTATGCATAATAACTTTAGGTTACCAAAAATAGCAGATTTGTTGCAAACACTCTCAATCAGCTTAGTGAGAGGGCAACATATATCCAAATCTCAACAGAGCGATCTAGTTTTATTATTCTTGAAGTTACAGTGAAAGCTTTGGGAAATAAAGTTTTGTCAAAACATATATCTTTACATCTATCTAGGATATATTGGGGCTAGCCTTAGGGGGTACAGAAACCTTCTCGCTACTTTCCTTGTACTCCACTCCTTGACCTAATGCAACTCATTCTAGTTCCTAACATGGTATAGAGCAGGTTGCTCCTTAGGAACACTTTACATGGGCCTACCGCTTTTCCTGCCGCACGACTATTTTTTGTTCTGCCCTGCGTGCGCCTCTAGCGCGTGTCACTTTCTGCCCGTCGTACGCCCTAGCGCGCGCGCGGTTCTTTGCCCGCCGAGTGCCCCTTGCGCGCACGCATTCTCTGCCCGTCACGCGCCCCAAACGCGCGCGCGCCTTCGCTGCCCTTAGTGCGCCCCTAGGGCGCGTCGTTTTTCCTACCCGTCGAGCGCCCCTAGGGCGCATCCGTTTTCTGCCCGTGGCGCGCCCCTAGTGAGGCCGTTTTCTGCCCCTCGCGT